CCACCTTCTAATGCGTGCTTCAGCCATGCTTTCTGTTTTCCTGTTACCAGCTTTGCTGCAGTGACCAAATCTGCATGTGTGTCTTGGCATCCTTGTGCAAGTATGTCATAAGGTAGATTTCTCAAAGCCCAGTTGCATCATGGAAGGAGGTATCAATTTCATTAATTAACCATCTACTTGTATATTGATCTTTGTGTCTGAAATATTGACACCCATTTGTTTCCAAGTTGTTATGTAAAATACCATGCAGTAGACTCTTTCCTGAAGTTAGAGTAGCTCTGGTCACCTCCCTCCCCTTTGGCTCTCCCAACACTGGGCCTGTTGTATTTATGCTGAACTGCCTCCCATTCTGGGCATCTGAAGGGCATTGGAAGACTGGAGTTACTCAGTGTGAGGATAACTCCTCCCACCACCTCCCCTGGCTGCATCCAGAAAGGAAACTGTCCAAGGATATTTTTGGGGGCCACTCTGGGGTTCCTTCCTAGGGAATGGTGAAGGCCACCATTCAGGAGGCAATAATTGCTGCCCGTGGGAGTCAGCTCACCTGAGTTTTTGCTCCAATCCCCACCCTGCTTAGGCATATGCCAGTCAGTGCAACTCCACACAGCACACGGTCAGTGGTGGCATTAGCCAGCTGAGCTTCCATTCCAAGCCCCACAGCCAGCCTCTTCCTCAGTGGGGGGGATGCCTGAGTCTTGATGTTGCCTGTTAAATGTGAGCCAGCCCTGTATATACAAGGCTATTCTGTGAGTGTGGGTGTGCCTCCATTTTCTAGAGCTTTCATGTCCAGTTGAATCATCTAGATGTCGTGTTGGAGTCCAGGGAGTCCACACTTGAGACCTTGCAAATGGGGACTTTGCCTCTCATTTGTTGTCATGGTCGGGGTGCCCAAATAACCCTGTGTGTTGGGTGTTACCCTGTTCACTTCTCAGTTGGCGAGCCCTGCCTCTGCTGTGGTCCTCCCTGTGTGCTGTGGGGCCTTGCTCCCCTGGGGGCTGCTGGAGTGCCATGGTTTGTCCATGACCCCGTATTTCAAAACATTGTTATTTCAAAGGGAGGAACCAGAAAGGAGGCGCTCTCATAGAGAGATGGGGTCTTTGCCACTGAGGGAAATGGTCATCTTCATGCGGGGGTGGGGACGTTTCCACCCCTGGTGTCCCACATGGGACCATTGGTAGCTACACCTGTCTCTGTCTCAATCTACAGCAAAAGAGGTGGGGGTATGGGGATATAGCATGCTCGGGGTTGCAACCACAATACGTGGTCTCACACTTCTAGGGCAGGAGCCTGTGTCCTGGCACAAATGCTGGCTTCTGCTTCTGAGTGTGTAGGGTTGTGAATGCTGACCATTTCCCGCTATGCTGCATCCTGCCTCATTCATGGCTCTGTTCAGCAGCTCTGATGGCCCTTGCAACAGAAAACAGGTGTTTTGTTTCACAGTAGGGATTTCTTTTTCTTTTCTCTTTTCTTTTCTTTTCTTTTCTTTTTTTTTTTTAAACAGGGCAATTATCTGAGGGGGGTGGAGAGAGCATGCATCCTTTGGATCCAGCACCGTGGCCAGGGCTGATTCTAGGAGCCAGACTCCATCCAGATTTCCATGGATGGCAGGACCAAGTAATTGAACCATTGCTGTTTCCTCCCGGATTCTGTATTAGCAGGAAGCTAGCTAGCTAGAAACCAGACCTGGGGATCAAACTCAGGTACCTGATGTGAGCGTCTTAACCATTAGCTAAACACCCACCCTTGCCTGGAGCCAACTTCTAAGCTTTGTGGGGCTGGGATGAGAACCTGTACATCCGTGCTTGGTTTCTAGTGGTTTCCATCACCATGCTTTACCCTCTTCACTTATAACTTGAATCCTAAGTTGGAGGCTGTCTGTAGTTAACACTCAATTCACTGTAGTTCCTTACTGCATTGGATAGAAGACAGGAAGGTGAAAGAGACTCAAGACCCAAGGGTGAGCAGCTTCAGTGTCTGATATCTGGGATAATGAACACCCATGAACTGTATCGAGATCCCTGTTCTCTGGGGAATAACTGCCGTATGATGGAGGAGGGAGCAGCTTGTGAGTCAGGGCGGGCAGGAATGAAGTGATATGCTAGACAGAGAAGCTCTTGGATCGGACCTCAAGACCTTGAGAAGGCAGCCTGTGTGGCTTAGAATGACAGCCCTCACATCCACTAGGACACAGAGCTGTGCTGTTCTTGTCCTTTGTAGGAATTACAGAACCACTTATTAATAGCCTTCTGTCTTCCCTTGTGCTTAGTTCTTCAAGCAGAAAAGCCAAACTCTGGACTATAGTTAAGCAACTATCTCCTGGAATTAAAACCCAACCAACAAACCTATGAGCTAGTTACTGTGGAGGCTTGGTCTTCTATGCCGGAGTAGTGGTGGTGGGGATACTAAAGAGCTGGATAAAGAGGGAGGTAGGGAGGAGGCATTAGGAATCTATGTGATTGAATGTAGACCCTGGGCATTCAATGGAAATTCAGTGAGTCATGTGGCAGTCAGTGCTTTTTATTCTCTGTTTTGCCACAAGAGGAAGAAGGTGTGGTGAGATCTGAGGTAATTGTCTAGAACTGAAGCTTCATGTGGTTCTGAGAAAGCCAAATATATCAGATAGGCAGTTTCCCGCTGCAAGACCGCATGGATGGCAAGCCCTGCAGATCCCTTTCCAACTCTGGAGCCCTTGGTACTGGCACACTTCTTCTATGGTGGCCCCTTGGCCAACTCTTAAAGATTGCTTTCCGTAGAACCTCTTAGGATTTGCATAGGATTTGTCTCCTCCAGAGGAAATATTGGACAGTTCAACAGAAGTTTCAGATGCAGTTTAGTGTGGGTTCCAGCTTGTTTCTTTCCACCTCTGTCCTCTCAAGAGCCTCCTTCGTATTCCCTTTTCTTGTCTTTGTCTTGATGTTTGAGTAATTGGCCTTTGCTATATAGCTTCATTCAGATTCTGTCTCCCTGTTGTTCGTTCCTCAAGTAATGCACTCCCAAGTAGCAGCAGGGACCTATATCCAGATCCATATTCACCAACCTTCTCAGTACCCGATGTTTCTAGTAGGAAGCATGAAGTGTTGGTTGAAAACATTGTAAGGTTGGGTCCAGCATAATGGCCTATTGGCTAAATCCTTTCCTTGCTGGCCCCGGGATCCCATATGGGACCAGTTCATGTCCCAGCTGCTCTGCTTCCCATCCAGCTCTCTGCTTGGGGCCTGGGTATCAGTAAGGGATGGCCCAAAGCCTTGTGACCCTGCAACCCCGGAAGAAGCTCCTTGTTTCTCGCTTTTGATCAGCTCAGCTCTGTCCATTGCAGCCATTTGGGAAGTGAATCAGTGGATGAAAGATCTTTCCTCTGTAAATCTGCCTTTCCAATAAAAATAAATGAAAATTTTTAATTAAAAAAAAAACATAGTAAGGTCTTCTGACATTTTGTTGCATGTTTTTATTTTATTAATATTTTGAAAGATTTATTTATGTGTTTGAAAGAGTTCTAGGAGAAAGAGAAAGAGCTCTTCCATCTGCTGGTTCACTCTGCAGATGGCCACAGTGGCCAGAACTGGGCCAAGCTGGAGGTGGGAGCCAGAAGGTTCCTTCAGGTCATCTCCCACGTGGGTAGCAGGGGCTGAAGCTCTTGGGCCATCCCCTGACGCTCTCCCCCTTAGCTGGATTGGAAGTGGAGCAGTTTCACCCACTACGCTGTAGTGCCATGTGTTTACCTTTATTCTATAGGTATTAGGGAACTTCCCAAAGTTCATGGAAATAGTTAGCAATGTTTTACTTTGATATAAAAATTATTTTTAATCCATGCACATAAGGGATCTTAAAGTTTATGGGGAAATAAATATTTTGTAACACCTGCTCTATTTTCTCCACAAACATTTTGAAATATCTTCATATTCGTATTTTGCCCTGGTTAATAAATTTATAATAAGTGATCCTTCTTCCTGTACTCTTCTGTGGCACACTCAAAATATTTCAGATTTACTTCAGATGGCTTCTTCTCCAGGAAATCATTTGTATCCTCCACCCCCAGAAAACACAGGCTTTGTGTGTGCTCTATGTATTGGCTGTTGTTATTTATGAATCACGTTCCTCCATACTTATCTACCCAAGACCAGTTCTTACCATTAGATGACCTGCTGCCAAAATCAAGGAACTTCTGTAGCTCAGAGTACTCGGTGACTACCCCTGATTCTGAACAGCAAATCCCACAAGAAGACAGGGGTACAGGGCTGGGCGAGGTCCTCCCTTCCAGGCGTGTTCTTAGATCACTTCCTCACTGCTGTCACAATGTTTATTTTGAATGTGGAAGGTCAATGTTGCATAGACAGTGATAAGTTCATGGAGAGACAACAATTTAGATTACTTGGGAAATTGAGCCACTGGGTGGAACATGTTCATTCCATGTTGGGGTTCTGTCATAGAATTTGTAAGGCAAATCTAGAAAGTTTCTGCTTATTTGCATTGACAAATTTGACAGGGTTGTAAATTTGAAGGGATTTCCAGAGACCATTCTTCATGTGTTGTGCTCTATCCCTGACATATAATTATAGATGTTTTTTCAAGATACATTATTTACTTATTTGAAAGACGAGTGGCAGAGAGAGAGATGGAGTGACAGAGTGATCTTTACTCACTGGTTCACTCAGCTGCTACAACTAGGTCTGGGTCAGCTCAAAGCCAGAAGCCCAGAGCTTGATCTTGATGTCCCACGTAGGTGTCAAGTTCTTGAGTACTTGGGTCATTGTCTGCTGTCTCTCAGACATGTTAACCGGAAACTCGATCAGAATCAGAAAGGCAGGGACTAGAACCACTCTGACATGGGATTTGAGCATCTGAACCAGTAGTACCCTTCCACCATGTCTGCCCATGACAGCAAAATCTTCTCTCTGTTCATTCTGCTGCATTTTATTTGGGGAATATTTGTTAAATTTCTGGCTTTTTTAAAAAAAATGTAGAATAAAAGAAACTAACCATGGTGCATTTTGTATTTCCAGGGAAGCAAAGGTGCCTACCGGTACCACTGGCAGAGCCACAATGTCAAGCACAGTGGCGTGGATGACATGGTGCTCCTCTCCAAGATCACTGAGAGCTCCATCGTAGAGAATCTGAAGAAGAGATACATGGACGACTACATCTTTGTATCCTTTACTGGGATCTTTGGACGCTGGTGCACTGTGATGATAGTCACAGCAGAACACAGCTTTGCTCCTAGTGCGAGAAGAGCCGTTAGTCTCAACTGATCCTGGGGGTTGCAGTATTTTCTTGGCCACATTGAGATCTGGGACTTTTGTGGTCACTTGGTTGAGGCCATACAAAGAGCAAGGTTGATGTTACCTTGTGTGTACCCCTGCCATTTCACCACATCAGGGGTAGCTGGGTTTTAGGCTATGGTACTGTCCCAGTGGTGTGCTCTCCCCCACACGTGGGATCTGCATCGTCTGTGATTCTAGAGGAAGTTGCACTTTGCTGAGTTGTATTCATGATACTTTCTGATTACAAAGCAGAGACGTTGCTGTACAGGCTTGATGGGTTGCTAAAAGGTTACCTCACACAGGAGGTGGAGCAGAAAAACTATATTGCTGATTTTTCTGCATCTTGATGTGCACTAATGGAAATCTGGAAAGTGAAGATCCAGTATCGAAGATGTCTGACATTCCTGAGTTCTTTATGTTTCGATTTTAGCTTGCCATATGCCAATTTTTATGGGGCTTTAAATATGCAGAATGGAAATTTGTTTCAAATGTGATATTTGAAGTATCTACATGATTCAGCATTTGTTTGGTGCAGTTATGTAAAGAGTAAATGGAGGAGTCATTGCAGGAATTAGTCACATACGTGCAAAGTATGTGTAAAGTTAACACAATGTCTAACAAAGCCTCACTCTGGGTATTGGTAGTACCTTTTGAAGATAGAATGTCAGGGGTGATCTAGTAAAAATGAAATCTTTGCTGCTAGTAACATAGCTTAGATTTTAGCCAAGAAAGCCTGAGAAAAAGCCTTTGCTTTGCTTTCCTCTTGTTCAGAAATGTTTGAAAGGCAGTGCTAGAGTCACAAGGAGAAACAGAAAAGGGAAAGGCAGAGATTGAATCTTCTATGTGATGTTTCACTTCCCAAATGGCCAGGGCTGCATCTGGCTGAAGGTGAGAGCTGGGAACTCCAGGCAGGTGTTCCCGTGATTACTGGGGACAAGAACGTGGGGTATGTTCCACTGCTTTCCTGGGCACGTAAGCAGGGAGCTGGATTGGAAGTGGGCAACCAGGACTCAAACAGGGCTCACTTGAGATGCCAGTGTCGAAGACAGTGGCCTCACTTGCTCCATCACAATGGCAGCATGGAATCATGTTCACGTCAATAGCTTCAGTTTTACCAGTGGCTTTTTGATACTGAACACCTTTAAAATAACTCAAACCTGTGCAGCCATCTTTTTGGACGAGCTGTCTGCCCAGTCACTGGTGTGTAGGTACCAGGTACCATTGACTTCCACACATTTGTTTGAAAGGCAGAGAGACTGAGAAGGCAACAGAGGTCTCTTGTCTGCTGGTTTACTCCCTAAATGCCTTCAACTGCCACAATAGTTCTAGGCGTAAGCCCGCAGCCCCAAACCCAATCCAGTGGTGAAAGGGACCCAAATACTTGCAGTATCACCTCCCATATCTGAGAGAGTGCATTGGCAGGAAGCTGAATCTGAGCAAGAGCCAATACTCTAACACAAGGACTCCAATATGGGATGGCAGGCACCTTTAGCAGCTTATTAACTGCCATGCCAAATGCCTGTACCTTTCCACAGACTTGTTAAGGTATCCTTGACTATTTGGGATTGCTAGCTACATGATAATAGCATTTTAAAAATAATTATTTCTAGGTGATAACTGTGTGAATATATATGTGTGTATATATAGGACATACTGATGCTTTGATATATATGTATTTATTATGATTAAATGAAGTGAATTGCATCCATATGCTCATTCTCATTTGTATGTGTGATACAGGGATTTAAAATCAATGCTCTTGGCAATTTTGAAATGTATGTAATATTGTTACTAATTTATGCTAGCATCCTTTTTTTGGGGGGGAGGGGGGAAGTACCAAAACCCTGGAATGAACCATGAGACCTGTGATAGCATTTTGATATGTAGAGATAGAGCAACCTATTGGCCTATAGACACTTTTTTTAATAGTTAATTTTATTTACCTGAAACAGTTGCAGAGAGAGAGAGAGGGGAGAGAGACAGAGATCTTCCATCTTCTGGTTTACTTCCCATATGGCCACCATGGCCAGGACTGATCCTGGTAGAAGTTAATAACTTCTTCTGGGTATCCCACATGAGTGCAGGGACCCAATGACTTGGTCCGTCTTCAGCTACTTTCCCAGGCTCATTAGCAGGGAACTGGATCGGAAGTGGAGAGGTCAGGACTCTAACCTATATGAGATGTCAGCACTGCAGAAGCAGCTTAACCCACTTTGTAGCCTGGTGGCCCCTACGAACTAAAGTTCTATTGAAAGACAGCTATACTGTTTCCTGAGTGGCAAAGTTTAGAAATTGGGCTAATCCTTTGTGGAAAAGTTGTTCTTAGTTGCTCTACACACTAGTGGAGGGTTTTGTTCATTTCTGTTTTTTTTTTTTTTTAATGTAACTGTAGAAGCAGTTGTGTTCATTTGTTTTTGTTTTAATTGGTCAAAAAATTGAAATCTATTTAGGCATAGATTGTCATGTTTATGTGCAAAAATCCATGGACAGAGAAACTGGCAAATGAGATTAGAAAGAGTGAATAGCTGGCTTTAAGTCTGTGTTCAAGCTTCGCATGGATTGGTTAGCCTAAATAGTCATCGTGATTGGCACTCCTTTTTTTCCTCATATGTAAAATGGGAGTGTCGGTACTATCTCCCACATGAGGCAGTTAGTTGTAGAGTGCAATGAAATAATGAACGCACTAAGTGCTCAGTACGCTTTCATTATTATCATCACCCACAAGACCGGGTGTATAAACTTCCCCTCAGTGACTTAATGTCCAAAACTTCTGCTGTGAAGTTGTTTATAGCAGATTGAGTGCATTTTTCTTTTAACCATAAAAATCTAATTTCCATTGAGAGTAGTTGAACAAAGTATTTATTAGAAGGCTTTTGGTGTGTGGGCTCAGGTTACCATGTGATTTACATGAAATGTGGTTTTGATAAGCTGGGGAAGCAAAGAAGAAAATGATGTCAAGTGGTTGTCAGTGGCCATGCATCCCTGACCCAGGCTGCCTCCCTTCTCTCCAGAGTGTCTGCTTTCCACCCCAAACACTGCAGGGCAATGGGCTGTGGGTCTTTTTCAAACAGCCAAAATTTACAAAACCCTTTGAGGCAATAGCCATCCATCTAGCCATGGCTTCTAATAGGTTTTCAAGCATCAAGGAGAATCCTGTCATCGGCAGTCCCACCCCTCAGGGTTAGAGACAGTTAACTTCTCATTGACTATATATATACATACATGAAACTTCAAACAGCTGGTGGAATCATTGAGTTGGATGATGTTTCTTTGCAGACATTTTAAAATCATGTGTGTTTATATGTATATATAAATGAGATATTCGATAAGTTCTTGGGAATGCATATTATAAAAACTATTCATGGACTTCAAATTCATTGGCACCAAAATAAATTTTCATTATCTTTTCTGTGAGCCTTGACGTATCCTCATGTGTGTTCCTCTTTGTTCGCAAAAAATGGCATCATCTTGCATGATATATTTCCTGGTTTCCTGCATCATTCTTGGCCTGGAGCATGGTTTTGTGTTCATTGGAAATGTGCTAATTGTCAGGACTTGCTTTTTAAATTCAGACAACAGAATGTCTAAATGACTCACACGTAGGGGGCTGAATTAATGCCTGTGAATCAATGACTGACTAATTGTGTGTTCTATCAAGAAGATGAGTTACTTGTCCACTAATGACTCTGTTTTAGAAATCTCTACCCACTCAGTTTCTGGGAAGTGCAGCATGAATGGGCTTCCTATTAGTAGCACAGAGTAGCTCTCAGCTGTCAGAAAGCTTGAGGCTCTGATGGATGTGTTTGTGACTTGGACTGCCAGTCTTTTCCTCCCGTAAGTGATAAGACCCCCTTTACCACTTCAGTATTAAGGAAAACATAATGGAGCAGTAACACAATAGGAGCATTTTTCTTCATTTAATTGTTAAACTAAGAAGAGATTTTATTTCACTTAAAGTTATAAAACGTCCCATTTTACCTCTTCTGCAACTAATAGCATATTGTCTTATACTGAAGGTCAGCATTCCGAACAATCAGTTGTCAATGCACTCGGGGCAGAGGCACGTTGCTTTGCTCAATGGTAAGCAAAAACCTCTACTTAGAAAGTGCTGACACTGTTTACCAATACAACCTCAAAGTTTTTAGCTCTTTGTCTTTAGACTGGAAGGTCTCATGTGCCATCAGTTTTTCATGAATGTTTCTGCACTTCTTACAATTACAGTCTACAGAATGTGTGGCAGGCAGTGTTGCATTCTCACCTTACTTGGCCCAGCAGCTCTTCTTGCCGCTTGGCTGATGAAAATCGTTCCTATACGAAGCACTCCACACTCATTTGGTCCAACTTTCTCCATACTTGTTTTTACTCGAAGACCACATTCAGATGTGCTTGGCAGTTTTAATCCTTGAGTTAGGAGGCTAGAGTTTGATGCCAGACTCATTGAAACTCCAGGCGGTGAAGCTGCTCTGGGTTAGGTTTGGTCCTTGGCAGCCAGTGCCTATAGAGGGACTTGGCGTGCTGTTTGTGGGATGAACATTGGCGGCAGGAGCCAAGGGCTCAAGTTCCAGCTTGATCCCCCTCCACGGATGTGACCCTGGGGAAGTTGCCTCACCTCTTGGTTCCACATCAGTGATACATCTGGGGGAGTTGACCTGATCAGTGTGGGTGGCTTTTTGGGGAATTCACTGAGTATTTAAAATGCTGGAGCCATACATTTGACCTATCAGTGAACATTCCAGTAAAGATGGCAGCATCCCACCTCCTAGAACCTAGGTTCAAGTGCAGAACCTAGAAGGCAGCAGGGGATGGCTCACGTAGTTGAGTTCTTCCCAGCCATGTGAAAGGGTCATAGATCTGGTTCCCTTCCAAGTCTGGGTTGTTTTTCACATTTAGAGAATGAAAGTGAACCAGTGAATGAAAGCCATCTTTCCCCATCTCAAACTATAAGAAAGTTAAATCCTTAGCTTTGCCTATTAACACCATTAAAAACAAATGGGCCTAAATAGTTCTACCAGATTTCCTAAAAACAAAAGTGTTTTCGAATGAGAAAGGCAGAGAAATAATCTAAGAGTAAAAGGTGGCCTTTCATACTGAATAAATCAAGCCTTATGAAAAATTCTGTGTATTAAATCTGTTTTTGACATTCTTGCTGCATATCCACAAAAATTTGTAGGCCTATGAATGGGTGTTGGGGAATCAGAACAGATCTTTTGGGTACCTTGTGTCTCAGATTCTGCTAAATAAGATGGCTGAAGTGGGGTGTTTTTTTTTTTTCTTCCTATTTTGCAGTACCATGGCTTACTGCAGAATGTTTTATGTGTGCAGAGCCTTTGATCGTGAGCAGCTGTTTCCAAAGGCACACGTGAGTTACCAGGGAAGAGAGCTGAAGGTGCCTGTGTTCTTAACCCAGCAGGAGACCTGTACTCTGAGAGAAGTAATGGAGGCTCCTGCCAGGCCTCAAGATGGAAAAGGCGAAAACTGTTTAGATAAACAATTAGCCCATTTCCCCCACTAAATTAAATTCTGTATAGTTTATAGCTATTAAGCTTAAAAGCAAGCCTAGCCCCATGACTTATTTCAAACCCCACTTAATTTTTTAAATAATAATTTAATATTAAAATAATAATAAATAACATTGCTCTTAAGAACTCTGTTGGAAAATTTAGGAGAGCAACCCCTCTTCCCCATTGATTCAGTGATAAATCAAGACTTTGAGATGATTCTTCATGTACAAGTTGTTTTCATTAAAAAAAAATTATGTTGCATATATGCAACTGTTTGTTAGGCCACCAAGTGTGTGGTGAGTGGGGTGTTGCAGTGGAGAGATCAGACCCTTTAGGGTTACACCCTCAGGGCAGCCCAAGTTTTGTGTACAGGGGTCCTTATCTGTAGTCTGGGGTGGCACCACACGCATTCCCCTTACAACCAAGGGAAGGAGTGCACCTTGCCTTCGCCAGCTCCATTGTTGTGGGCGTTCTGTCGAAACGAGCAACAACAAAAACCATCTTGAGCATGTCTTGCGCATGGGCGTATGTTGGTTTTGTTGTCATTTTGAGAATATTCTTTGTATTTTTTTTTTCCAAAAGAGTGAGGAGGTTCATCTGTTTAGGTCATTGTTATATCCCTAGTACCTAAAATGGTTCTGATGTCCCAATTCTAATGTACCTATTAAGTGAATCAAGAGAAACGGTTTTTGTTACATCAAAGTGTCTTAGGTTGGGTGCATTAAGATATGTTATGTAAAACTTGAAACTAGGCATAAAAACCATCGTCTCCCAGAGATTTTCTGGATACCCCAAACAGAAATAGCTTCCTTTCCTAACCCCCATCTGTGTGGTTTTGTAATTGTCTTCTCCATTTTATTGTTACTACTTAATTCCCATGAGCTGCTGGAGAGCAGCATCATTCAGTCCATTTTCTGTCTGTTGGTTGAATAAGTCAATGGACATGTGCTTAGTGTGTGGAAGAAATGGGCAAATTCCATGGGAAAACTACTGACTCTTTAAGAAGAGAATTGATAACCGTTGGTTCGCTCAGTGGCCATTTCTGTTTTGTTTGCTTCCAACTGTACTTGCCATGGGTCCTGAGGGGATGTGGTTTAATTTGTTTCAAATAATGGTTTCTCCTTGTAGGACCTTGGTAATTAGATTCATTACTCTTTTCAACAAAGAGCAAAGCCTGAGCTAGATAGACAATTGGCTTTTGTCTTTGTCATCATTTAGCAAATAAACACATGCACTTTCTCTGTGATCAGTTGGTATGAATTCTTGATAACATCTGGCTGCTTACTTTGAAAAGGCATATAGCCATGATGATGATGAATGGACCTTAACTGGATTAAATTCAGACGTACATAGGATCCGTGTTAATCTCCGTCAACCCTTTCAAGCAGATGCCATATTTTGGGGAGAAGGAAATCGAGATGTACCAAGGAGCGGTGAGTTCTGTGCCACATAAACTACTGTTTTCTGTAGGGATTTTATAATGCATTAATGTGGTTTTGCAGGTAACAATGCATTTACATTTTTCTTATGGGTTATTTATTGGGGGCTCAAGTTAAGTGATGTTTGATTTTTGTTGACATGTTCTATAAGGGTATAGCTCAGAGAAGCCTAGGGCTGTCTCCCAGTTGAGTCTTATTTCTATACAAAATGAAGTGGGGTCTTAGGTTTGCAGTTTGGAGGAATCTTCCTGCTTCCACAGCTGCCACAGAACTCTCAGGCATAAAAAAAACCCTGAATCTCAAGTGAAAAGTATTTGACAATAGAGGTCCTGCTCCCAGAATCCAAGTCTTAGATTGGCTGTGGCTCTAACATGAGCATGTAACATAAATCGCCGATTGCTTCATGTACCTATTCAAATCGACTCCACTGCCATTTCTGTTGCGCAATTAACACAGAAACTGTCGGCCCCACCGATGTGTTCTGTGCTGGCGTTCATCACCTCTCTGAGCTGCTCCTTCTCTGCATTATTTCCCCCCTTCCCTTTCCTTCCTCTTTGCAGCAGAAGCACAAGGGTATCCATTAATCCTGACCTCTGGAAAAACCAACAAAAGGGACCCCACACAAATTCATCAGTTGGAGTGCAAGGCAATTTACCCAGAGCAAGAGCCCACCCCATTGTTGCCAGATGAATGGTGCCGGTTGCAGGAGCCGAAGGAGGCTGCCACGCGAGAGGCCTTTGATAATGCTGCCTTTATGGGAGCCCAGCACAAGGGAGACAGTGTCCTGAGAGGCAGGGCCCCGGGCCGGCCGCGGGCACAGAGCTGGCTCCATGTCCTCAGTGACAGCCACGGCATCGTGGATGGCAGCGCTGTGTGGGTGTGTTTCTTCCTAGGTCTTTGAAAAGGGTCCTTTCAAGACCATTCATCTTTGAAGAGTTCTCTTTAAAGAAATAGCACAGCAGTTTAAAAAAAATAATATTTATTTTTACTGCTTATGGTAACAGAATTTGTGAAACAGGTGTGTACTTTTACACTTGTATAAACAGCAGAGCAGTTAAGGATGCTGTCCACATATTCGCCCCCCAATTCCCATTTCACAGATGAAGAAAGTGAGGTTCAGATTAAGTACTAGAGTCTAATGAGCAGTAAAGGTAGGAGTTGAGGTTAGATCTGATTGACCATTAGGATCTCGGAGGAGGAAAAGAAAAAACAGAAAAAAAAAAATGCCTACCTTATGATTCACACAGGTAGCCGAGATGCAATCATGCTGCAGATGAGAAACCCATTACAGAAGTATTGAATAACATGCAAAGGTCAAGTGTCACTTTCTCAAGCAGCTGTGAGGCCTCCTGGGCAATGGCTTGCCTCTCCGTTTTGCTCCATCGTCTGTAATTTTGCGTCCACTCTATTTGTCATCATGTTTCTTGTAATCTGCTTCCCTGTTTTCGAAGAGGCTTGAGGAGCAGGAGTTGAACAGTTAAGATGCTTGTTTTTCAATCTGGCTTACCTAGATTCCATTCCCAGCTCTGGCTCTAGACTCAAGGTTCCTGTTTAGTGCAGACCCTGGGAGGTAGCAGTGATGACGGTAGCTAGGGTAATAACTGGTTTACGGCCTCCTGTGCGGGAGACTTGGATTGACTCATAGTTTCCGCCCTGGAAGTTATAGTCCTTTGAGAAATACACCAGTAGATTGGGAGAGCTCTGTCTCTCGGTCTTTCAAGCAGTCAATCCTTTCTGGGAAGCCTGGCCTGAAAGACACCCATCCCCGTGTATCACTCTACTACCCTGACTCCCATGCCTGCCTTCCCTCTGACAGTAAGGTGAAGGCAGAGCTACCATCAGTCATTTCCTACCTAGAGTTTGCCGGTTGACCAGTCTCAGCTCACTGGGTGTGCCACCTCCCTTTCTGGTTTTCCCAACTTGTGACGTGTGGGGCTTCAAGGAGGAGGACAGTGAGTGTTGGGTACACCCATGTTCACCATGTGTATCAGCACCCTCTGTGTGTCCCAGACCCCTTATTCTATAGTGAATCATTGCAGAATAGGGCTCAAAAATGGTTTAAGAAAGGTGTTTTTTGTTTGTTTTTTGTTAAGACGTACCTTTTTTTTTTTAACTGGAAAGTCAGATATACAGAGAAGGAGAGTCAGAGACATATCTTCCATTCGCTGGTTCACTCCCCAAGCGGCTGCAGTGGCTGAGCCAATCAGAAGCCAGGACTCAAGAGCTTCTTCTAGGTCTCCCAAGGCTTTAGGCCATTCTTGACTGCTTTCCCAGGCCACAAGCAGGGAGCTGGAAGGGAAGTAGAACAGCCAGGATGTGAACCAGTGCCCATATGGGATCCTGGCACATGTAAGTCAAGGATTTTAGCCACTAGGCTACCATGCCAGGTCCAAGAAAGGTGTGTTCTACTTCTGTTATATTACCCTACCTTTTTCAAATTAGTTTATTATGCACCAGAATAACTTTTTCTTTTTTTTTTTTTTTTTAAGTTTTAAAGCAAGATTTATTAGAAAAGTTGAGAAAGGAGACTCCCATCCTAGTGATGGGAAGGGGTTTTGAGATCTTCTGCCATCATGGCAGGAGGAAAAGCAAGAAAGAAAAACCCTAGTCCTTTGCCATAGTGGCAGGAGGCAAAGTAAAAAGACCCTGCACCAGAATAACTTAGCAAGCTGCTACATATTTACCCCTGCTTTAACAATGGGGCTATTCTGATATTTTTACATTCTTCTAGGCTCAGTAACGTTTAAGGGGGTAGTATTTTCTGTTTAGTAATTTCTGAGAGGGAGTATTATAGTTGGGTGCTAAGAAATTGACTAAAAGAAAGCTGACATTGACTGAGACAGTCAATCTGTAAAGGATGGTCGTATGTTTGGTTTTATAGTCATGTGTGGCCATGACATCCTGTGAAACTGGATCACAAATTCAGGACTGTATCTTGATGTGGTTGAAATTTACACTTTCCCCAACCTCGTAAAATAGAAGTGAAGCAAACTGGCCAGAGCAGCTTATCTCTTGATAGAACCACACTTCCTCCCCTGCTAGAGAAAATTTTGTTTTCCAATCACAAATGGTTTCAGTTCTGAGGTGCCAGAAACCTCCATTTGCCCTTGGGGAAAAAAAAAATGATCTAGGAATTCAGGCTGCTGGTTGCAATGTTGATAAACCTCTCTTCAGACCTGTTTCCCAAGTGTCTTGTGGAACATCTTGAGATGGAATGTCATCTGCAGAGGCATGTTTGGGTGGAAGGGTGTGGTCTGAAGCTGTGGGTCATGTCTGCAGGCTGAGTCACACGTGTGCCTAGGGAAGAGTCCTTCCAAATTCCATTTAATTTGTTAAGGCGTAAGTGTTCATCTCCGAGGCAATTTTATGAGTTCTTATGTTATGCAACCTTTGGGATGCGATTATGTGCATAGGCTTGGGAACCGTGCAGTGGTCAATTGGTCTCGCAGGTCAAGGAAAGGAATGTGAGGCATTGATCTCTGACCATGGTCTTACTTTTGTTTTTTCTTGGCTTTCCAGGCACAATATGAGAACCCACCACACATCTATGCCCTGGCAGATAGTATGTACAGAAACATGATCATCGACAGAGAGAACCAGTGTGTCATCATCAGGTAGGAGAAGGATCCTCCCGGGGAGGTCCAGAGCTTGGAAGACAGTCCTGGAATGAGGGACCTCTGTCAAAGGGCCGTGACTTTACAACAGCCGCTGATGGCAGAGGCTGGGTCATGCACGGAGGAACAAGCAAGCTGGCTGCTTTATCTTAATTTACTTGAAAACCCCAAGTGCAGAAAGCTTTGAGCTCTTGTGGGGCTGTCATCAAAGCCCCTGGTGTTTAAGGCATTAAGGACTCAGGGCTCATCATGCCAACTGGGTCTTTGTATAATCAGCAAGGTCAAGGGATGAAAGTCCTAAACCTCCTCTGCCCTTGGATCTGACTGAGGCTTTACGTCAGAAGCGTGATAAGCATGCTTCCCTATGGTATCTGCTAGAATTCACTCTGCATTCTGTTCTTGTTGGCTAGTAGTTCATGCATGGCATACTTTGGCGTTGGATGATGTACTCGGTCATTTGCTTTGAGTTTTTGAGGATTCCATTACCCAGGTGGCTGTAGCTACATTTTGTAATCCTTTCACCAATCCTCACCTGCATTCCAGTGCATTTAAATTTTATTTTACCACGGTGAACGTTTTCCAACATAGAAAAAGCATTCAATGATGTTCCCATATTTTTACATGAATAGTCCACATTTTGTGGTAGGTATTTGTGTTCATCTTTGATAGTTTTCTTATCTGAATTATCTTTCAAAGTTTTTCACAATAGTTGGTCATAAGAGGCAAAAAATTACAAGTATTAATCTTGGGGTACCTAGGATACATTTTCCTAGCGATCAATATATTGCCAAGCCTGTCTTATGTAGTCTTCTATCCTGGTCCACTTGATTAATTAAGGCAACTCCTAGAGAACACATCCATTTAGTCGTTCATAATTGAGATGTACTGCTGGAAGATAACACTCATCACACTTCACACATGAACAATTCTTTTACTGTCATCTAGTGTTGCCATTCCGGTTCTATGGCTGTCTTATAAATTTTCTTTTATACTTAGTTGTATTTAATGTTCAAAGAAGGCCTGCACACAGCACCTGATTGTTATGTTTTCATATCTCTTAATAATCCTTTCTTGCTCTTTTTTTTTCTTGACATTTGTTTTGAAAGAGAAAGGGCTCTTGAGAAAAAGATTGTGGAGATCTTCAGAAAACGTGCCATTGGCTGCATGTGTTCTGTGATGGTTCACGATTTCCGCTATCTATATCTCCTCTAAATTGGTAGTTGCATCTAAGAGTGCTCTCCGATTTGGATTCAAATTTTTGGCAAAAGCGCCTCACTAGTGATACTGTGCCCTTAACACCTGTTCGTCTCTGTGTCATGATGCAAACTGGCAGTGGACTCATTCATTATAAACTTCATCTAATGGCTGTTATTTAGTTGATAATTGGAAAAGTTATTTTTCATGCCTATAATCCTACTTCTTCTGATTCTTCAATTATATTATTCTCTCTGCATTTGCTTTTCTTTGATTTAATCACCTTAAAATAGAATCTGTATAGGAAAATGAGATAAGACACTTGAGTCATTGCCTTTATCTAGTGCTTTTCAAAGCAATGGATTGTTGCCCTAGCAACCAGCCAAGGTAATGTGTCTTTGGTGTCTCTCTAAAATAGTGAATTTCAAATGTTTTATCCATTTTCGTTGCAGTTATTCTTTTTGCTGTTCAAAAGGATCCCATTTTGACTGAGAGAGCTCCTTGGTTAGTACATCCTTAAGACATGACCCCACTAGTTTCTGGTAGTTTTCTCATTTAAGAAGCTGCAAGCTCCTCTTGTGCTGCCACTTCTCCAAGGGCTGTGGTTCATTGTCATGAGCAGTGGCATTGGAAACCGCTGGTCTGGACACTGCCAAGCTGCCTACCCATGTTGTCAGTGCTTCTGGTCCTTTTCAGAGGACAGAGCTAGGGAGTGATGCTTTTTGTTTTGCTTTTGAAGAGAAAAATGAAACAAGTCATACTGATATTTCCATTTCAGTTTTCAAGGTAGCACAGTTTTTATTTCTTAGGCTTTTATATTCATTTCCCATTTATCTTATGCTTAAAATCTTGGTTCCTAATGACATGGAAGCAATTATTTGTCTTATACTATGTCTGTATTACGGATAGATAAAATAGTTTTTATTTATGCCATAAAGAATAAAATTACAGAATAAGAGCACTAAAACATTTCAGTGTAAACAGAGAACTGAAGTACTTAAAAGCTGATGAAGGCTCATGACATTTTATCTCTGAATATTTCCACCTGCACCTCTGAGAACTGACAACATTTTTCCTACTTAATCTTAGGACCATTACCACAACTGAAGAGTCACGATCATCTGCAAACCAGCAGGTTTTATCCAAATCTGACTGTTGCAGATTCTTTCCTGCTACTTTATATGAATTGAGAAATGGTTGCATTTGATTATTTTATTTTATTTTAAAAGGGCTAATTTTGAGTAGAAAGTTAAAGACAGAAAAGGAGGGAAAGAGATTGGGCTGGCACTGTCGCTCAATAAGCTAACCCTTAACTTTCAAGCACTGACATCCCATATGGGCACCCAGTTCCATTCCCAACTGCTCCACTTCGATCCAGCTCCCTGCCTGTGGTCTGGGAAGGCAGCGGAGGATGGCCCCAAGTCCATGTGCCCCAGGTCCATGTGCCCCATATGGGAGACCAGAAGCAGCTCCTGGCTCCCAGCTTTAGATCAGCTCAGCTCTGGCCATTGTGGCCATTGGGACTGAACCAGTGGATGGTTTTCCTCTCTCTCTCCTTCTCCCTGTAAATCTGCCATTCAAATAAAAATAAAATAAATATTTTAAAGAGGAAGAGAGAAAGAGAGGTCTTCCATGTACTAGACCGCTCTGCAAATGTCTGCAACAACTAAGGCTGGGCCTGGCTGAAACTAGGAGCCAAGAGCTTCTTGCAGGTCTTCCATGTGGGTGCAAGAACCCAAGTACTTGGGTCTATTTTCCTAGGTACATTACCAGGCAGCTGGATGAAAAATGGAGCAGCCAGGGATTATACCAATAACCATATGAGATTCTAGCATTCAGGCACAACTTAACCTATTATGGTTAATTTATTATGGTGCAAATAAATTTAAGGTGCCATCCCCTTAAATTTATTTTTATTCTACTGTTCTACTATTGCCATTTTCTCCCATAACATTGATATTGTGAAGAGACCAAACCAGTCAGTTAGTTGGTCTCATTATACTTATTCCTTCAGTTGGATTTTACATAAATTGGAAATTAGCTCTAAATACTGGATTAGATGCAGGTTAAACCCTTTTGGATGAATAGTTAGGAAATGAGGATTTTGGTTGCATGATAGGAAATGCTGTTGCTTGACGCAAGGTTGAGGTGCGGCCTTTAGAGAGTTTTCTTAACTGGAATTTAATCTATTCCAGTTTGAGTTTCCCAATAGAGTTCCTTATTGGTTCCTTTCCCTTCTTCTATATGTGCACTGAGACGAGAAGGAAGGAAATGGCTTGCTCAGCCCATGTCTCCATCTCTCAGGTCCTCTTCCACCTGTCCTTGCAGCAAGACTGTGCCCACTTCTACAGTCCCTCTCTCCAGCTGTTCAGGTGACAGATTCAAGGACATGCTTGCAAGAATTTCTGTTGGGATGTTGGTGTTCTCCTTTAGGAAGCATTTGGACAGGGAGCTTCCTGACTTGAACCATGCAGAATGAGACCAACATTCAACTTCATGGCCCATTTCTGCACGCCACTGCCCTCCCTTCAATCACCAGCTGCAAATTGAGGATCCCCCTCCCAACTCACCTTCAGACTCCCTTCTGCCCAGTTTGTTATAAATCCAAAAGTCTCCACTATTCTCTCAGATTCAGTAACTTAGGGGAAAGCCCTCTGCTTAGAACTGCAGTCTTAGGAAAGCTATAGGAGACGTGGCCCAAGTCTGGGAGAGTCCCATGCATAGCTTGAGGTTGTCTTCTTGTGGAAGTTGTTCCTTTAAGTCTTTGGTGTCCAGAGTTTTTATGTGGGCTCTATCCTTTCTGTAAGGTTGACCTTTTGTTTCCAAAACCTCCTGAAGGTACAGGCTAATAATCCCTCTGGAGGGTGGAAGTGATAGGATGTGTTTGAAAGTCTTCCTTGAAAATCATAATTGTTAGACCAGGCCCCTGCGCCTCCAGGCAAACACTTAGCAGACTGGGCACCTTGGGACTAACAGATCATGAACCAGTTACCCAGGGCAAAGTTCCACTTCTCTTTAGTTCTTCATTAGGGGTGCAGAAACTGTGGTTTGCTTTCTGTGTGAAAGCCCACTGGCACAGCCAAGTTCACTTTGGCCAGCTCTGGGATCCTGGGCTGCATTCCCAGTGACTCTGGGCCATGGTATACTCACCTGTAAGTGAAATGATTGATCAGTGATCAACGATGACCTCTGGTGTCTGGTGGTTTGGAATTGTTCCAAATAATGTTGCTGCTGCTTAGAAAGAAAAGCAGAGAGATGCTATCCTCAGTAGAGGGGCTCAAGTGTGCAGCCGCTGGGTGCTTGGCCTGCTGAATTTTGAGTTGGATGATGCATGTCTGAATGCTCCCGTGAACAGAAAGCAAATCAAACCTGTTTTGAAGGTGCTGGAAGAGAACCCTACAAAAGAATGCTATGGGATTCTGCTGTAGCTGGATAGACTAGCAGTTTTTACTAGCACTTAATTAGGAAGTAAAAAGTGGATGATGGCTTAATGTGTACATTCTTTCAGACCTCCGGCTCTTGCTAGCCCTGGTGTGACTTTGTCTAAGTGGCTCTGTGGATGAAGAACACCGCCCATAAAGGCAGCTTTACTAGTTTCTGCCCAGTCTTACTCATGTTTTTGACAATGGGTGAGATAGACTGGCAGCTCACTATTTCTGGACTAGAAATCAGTGCAACAAATTGAATTTTTAAAGAAAGAAAGGAAGGAGTTGAGCTGTTTGTTGGAGCACAAGCTTCCATTAAAGCCTGGGTCTTGAGTTTTGTACATCTAAAATAAACCCAGTCTGTCAAAACAGCGAGAACTG